ACGATTATTATTTTTTTGCAGATGATATGATGGTTTGCTTCAAAAACCCTTTGTCACACAGCTATTGTCTGAGGCCAGATTTGAACTCATGAATATGAATCTTCTGACTCCAAGCCCAGCACTCGATCCACTGTGCCACCTAGCTACCCAGTCAAAAACTAAGTGAAGCAATTTACAAATTCAATAAAGTTTCAGGATATAAAATAAACCTGTAAGAATCATCAGCATTTTTGGATACCACTAACAAAATCCAGCAGGCAGAGAAAGAGAAATTCCATTTAAAATAATTACAGATAGTGTAAAATACTTGGGAGGCTACCTGACAAGACACACAAGCAGGAACTATATGAACACAATTGCAAAAAACTCTTTATACAAATAAAGACAAGTCTAAATCATTGAAGAAATTAATTGCTCATGGGTAGACTGAGTCAATATAATAAAAATGACAATACTACCTAAATTAATTTACTTATTCGGTGCCATGCTAATCAAAATATAAAAGGATTACTTTATAGAACCAGATAAAATATTGAAATTCGTCTGGAGGAACAAAAAGTCAAGAATATCAATGGAAGTAATGAATGAAAATGGAAAGGAAGAAGGCCTAGCAGCACCAGATCTCAACTATACTATCAACTCATTTTTTTTTTTAATGAACTCGTTGTCAAAATGATTTGGTACTGGTTAAGAAATATAGAGGTTGGAACCGCTAGATGGTGCAGTGGATAGAGCCCCAGCCCTGGAGTCAGGAGGACCTGAGTTCAAATTCAGCCCCAGACACATAAAATTTACTAGCTGTGTGACTCTGGGCAAATCACTTAACCCCAATTGCCTCACTTAAAAAAAAAAAAAAGAAGGGCAGCTAGGTGGTGCAGTGGATAGAGCACCAGCACTGGATTCAAGAGGACCTGAGTTCAAATCCGACCTCAGACACATAACACTTCCTAGCTGTGTGACCCTGGGCAAGTCACTTAACCCCATTGCTTAGCCAAAAAAAAAATATAGAGATTGATTAATGGAACAGATTAAGTATATGATATACTGACACAAACAAGCACAATAGCCTAGTGTTTGATAAACCCAAAGATCTCAGCTATTGGGACAAAAACTTACTATTCAACAAAAACTTTTGGGAAAACTGGAAAGCAGTCTAGTAGAAAGTCAATACAGACCAATGTCTCATACCTATACACCAAGACAATCTCCAAATGGGTGCATGATTTAGACACAAAAAGTGGTATCAAAAACAAAGTAGGGGATCATGGAAGAAATTACCTCTCAAATCTATGGCTTAGAGGAAGAAGTCATAACCAAACAAGAAATAAGGAAATTCACAGAAAGTAAAATGGACAAATTTGGTTATGTAAAATTTTTAAAGTTTGTATACAAGCAAAGCCAATTCAGCTACAATTAGTAGAAAAGCAGGAAATTGGGGAAAAAAATCTTTGCCATTAGTTTGTCTGATAAAGGTCTCATTTTTAATATGTGTGTAGATCTGGAATTCAATTTTATAAGAATAAGAGCCCTCAAACTATGGGGATATCCATTAAGAGTCATTTTCCTATTAACAAATGTTCAAAGGATATGAATCAGCAGTATTCAGAGCAAGAAATCCAAAATATCAATAGCTGTATGAAAAAATGTTCTAAATCATTATTAATCAGAGAAATGCAAATTAAGGCAACTTGAGCTTTAATCTTGTACCCATTAAAATAGTGAAGTTGATAAAAAAGGAAAACAACAATTTCTGGAAGAGCTGTGGAAAAATAGATACATTAATGCACTGTTGGTGGAACTGTAAACTTGTCCAACTATTCTGGAAAGCAATTTGGAACTATGTGATACCACTACTATTTCTGTTCCCCAAAGGGCTCAAAGAAAGAGGAAAATACCCCATATATACAAATTATTTATAGCCTCTCTTTTTATGGTGACAAAGAATTGAAAACCATGGGGATATACATCAAATGGGGGATGGCTAGACATGTTATAGTATACACATGTGATGGAATATTATTGTGCTGTAAGAAATGATGAAGACAATGGTTTCAGAGAAGCCTGGGAAAACTTGTATGATTTGATGCAAAAGGAAGTGGGCAGATTTGGGTGAACAATATATACAATAACAAAACTATTCAAAAGATAACTGACTGTGAAAGACATACGAGTTTGGAAGAATTAGGCAGTCTGATGAAGAAAATTACTAACCACAATTCCAGAAGACTAGTTATGAAACACGCTGCCTACTTCAAGAGAGGTAATGGACTCAAAGTATAGATCCAAGCATGTGTTTATATATTTATATTTATCTCTAGCTATATTCCTATAGACATATAGATATCTCTTTGGAAATAAAGATATAGACATAGAGCTATCTATCTAGATACATCTAGATATACATACACATACAAATGTTTATATATGTATATGAACATATGTCTGTGTATATGATATAACCAATGTGGGAATTTGTTTTGCTAGACTACATATGTTTGCAATGAGTTTTGTTTTTCCTCCCTTCCCAATGGGTGAATGGGAAGGTGAAAGGGAGATAATGTGGACCTAAAAATAAAATAAAATTGAATTAAAAAAAAAATCCAAAAAGATTGTCTTATTTGATCCTCCCAATAAGCCTAGGAGATAGGTACTATTATTACTATCCCAATTTTACAGATGAGGAAACTGAGTTACAGAGCAGTTAAGTGACTTGACCACGGTTACACAAATAGTAAGCATCTATGTGACTAGATTTGAACTCAGGTCTTCCTGATACTGGGTCTAGCACTTTATCCACTGTACCATTTAACTTGCTTCAATAAATGTAGGGTTCATGGAAATAGACTACTTTAATCAAAGGAATGAATGTCCATTTAAGAGTTCAGAAATCATTGCTGACCAATAGGGAAGATATTTGGGGGTCTGCCTAGTCTCCCTAAAATCATTCCATATAGATATCAGCTTTTTCAAAAGGGGTCCCCACAGGAATTAGGCAGCAAGTTGGTTCCCCAAAGCCAAAACTAAGTATTGATGCAGAAACGAAGGAGCTCCCTTGTGTTTCTCTACCATAGTTTAGCTTTATTCTCTGCTGTCAGAGGAATAGCCTAATTGGGCAAATTCACAAAAGGCAGGTTGATGGAGTGGAAAGAGCCTTGGACTTAAATTAGGAGACCCATATTCAAGTTCTAGCTCTGATATTTACTGGCTGTGTGATCACGTGAAAGTCACATACCCTCTCAGCTTCCATTTCTTTATCTGTAAAATGGGGATGTTAAAATGTAAAGCAATATGTGAGTGTGAGCTAATATTGTTATTATCACCTCCATTTCTCCTCATATACTAACATCAACTCAGAGGTTTGGAAGGAAAAGAGACATCGAGTAAGCACCCATGGAGGTGGTTTAGTTTTACTTGTAAGATTTTATTCTGTACAAGGTACAGAAAGAGTAAGCCTCCCTGGCCCCTACCCCATATAGATAGGGAAACTGAGGCCCAGGGGTTGCATTCTAACAAGGCTTTGATAGGGTTAATGCAAAAATTCACGTCTTCTAGCTCCAGAACTGTTTCTATTCTTTATGCTGTCTTTAATAGATATGAAAGTCAATTTAAAAAATTTCCTATCATATGTTTCTAGTTTGCCATTATCAATCCAAGTTTCAATAAGGAAAAAAGTCAATAAAAGGTCAGGAGAAGTTAACTTTGTGCTGAGTAAATATCTGTGAGTATACACTCATTTTTTTCCTTGGCCCTTCAATTAATTTATCTCAGGGTCCTCAGGAAAGAGACACCTTGGCAGTAAAAACCACTTTATGAGAGAGGTAAGAAATAGACCAGTCTCTTCCTTTGGAACAGAAAAATGGACTTTGTCTGATCAAATCCCCATACCTGACATTTACTGGCTATGTCACCCTGGGAAAGTCACTTAACTCTTGAGTGCTTTGGGCAATTTAGACCATTAGTTTCAGAGAAGGTGCTGAACTGCATTGATAGCAGTTCTTGAGTAGGATCTCCTGACAGCAATGAAACCATAGGTCCAGTGTCTACCCCATGATCTTATGTATCTGCTGCCTTTTCAGGATTATATGTCATGACGTTTCATCATAAAGGAAAGGTTTATCTGAAATAGTGAAATCTGAACTATAGAATATTTTTTAGAGAAATGCAGTTTTATTATTCATTCAACAAATATTGTTTTACATAAACTATATACATTTATAATTTACATATAGTTATCAGAATGAAAACTGACAGTTTAATCTAGCATTCATTAACCAAAGACCATCTTAGATCTGCTTTAATGAACAGAATCATTAAAAATATACAAATCAATACCAAAAAGAAATTTCCCTTAAGGTTAACCATCCCTCCTCAGCTTTCAAAAAAAATCAATTAATTCACCTTAAAACCCTTTATTTCTTAATGCAAAGCTAAGAAGTAAGTGAAATTTTGAATCAGACAGGGTCTAATGCAAGAAGGTCTTTGCCATGAATGAATTTGGAAAAAAACTGCGATGATCCCAACAAGTTGCTCTCTGAGAAATGGTAGAGGCAGCCAGATACCTGGAATTATTCCTGATTTCCTTGTAAGTTAATTCACAGCTGCCTAGATGAGTCAGAATCTCAGTTTCTGCTTTCTCTATCACATTTCCAAGAGATACAAGATGGGACCCAAAATTATATTTCCTTAGAAAGAAGTTATAAATGACTTTCCCCTTCCATCAACTTGCTAATGACAACCTTTGGTTAAGAAACTAGGCCTGCAAAAATGTGACTGAAAGGCATGAAACAGAATTTCTTTCTCTATTCTCTTCCTTCTCTTCCCCACCTTCTCTGCCCACTCTGCTTCTCTCTTCTCTTCCTCACCTTCTTTTCTCACTTAAACTTTAACTCTCCTTTTTCTTATCCCTTACCTTCTTAGATTCTGTTCAGAAGAATCACTGTAGGGGATGGACTTCAAAAGAATGAGATGGAAAAAAAGATTTTAGAGCTTTGTCTACTTACTTGAACACATACATGGTGCTTCTCAGGAGGTGTACCTTTCTCAAGCACTCCCAGGTTAGTCTGTTGTTCCAACACGAATCTATACATATTTAAATAAAGTACAAGACCATTCCTTTCCCTAGAGAGATTAATTGTTCAAATAACTCCTCCTAGTTAATCATAGCTGGAAAGAAACAAATATCATGGGACAACCACACACACATACACGTGCACCATGTAAGTCTGACTAAATCAATTTCATATCTCTTCAGAGTTTTAGAAGAATGACCAGTTGTGGCCTTGGGCAATGTTATGGAGTTGGGCTTCTTTTTCTGCTTAGTAGGAAAGGATAATGCTTGTCCTTACTTCACATGGATGCCAGGAAGGGCAAATGGGACAATTTTAATCCTTAGCTTAATGCATTGCTATATTTAGTCTTTCTGGCCATGGGATAGTGGTGGTTTGCAGGGGTAGGGCAAGGAGCCAGGCCTGGATTAGGAGAGTTAGATTAGGCAATGGGAGTAGGCTATGGCCTAGGAAGTACCTATTAGTTAGCATTTAAGGTAGAATAGAGGTCTAGATCCAGGTGAATAGACTTCATGCATGTGTGGGGTGTATGGGTTGTTCAAGAGGACTAGCACTTCTGCTGGGAGGGCTTGCCAAGCTCTTTTCAGGGCTGTTTGTCCACTTTTGGTGTCTACCTGGCACTCACTTTTTACCTCTGGCTCCAAGAGACTGTTGCTTGATAGCAGACACACCCTGGCAAACCATCTTGGCAGACAGGCTAAACTAGGTTGAGGGTAAGCAATGAACCTCAAACCCATTGGTGAATTAAGGGGAATGCCTATCCCAAGCATGTGAAGAATGGGAGGATGAGAACAATATATTCCAATGGCCATGAAGGCAGCTAAAGCAGGTGCTATGGAGTACTTGGTCAGATATTGAAGACACCAAGGTCATCCATTGCATCCTGGGCCATTGCCAGTTGTCTTGACTTTTATCTTCTCACTAGACTTTCATGACTCTGGAAGAGAGAGTGAGACTTTGTACAACTCTGCCTCACTTAAATCCAATTCACCCATGAGTCAAAACATCACCCTGATATAATTGGTCCTCTTCAAAAATGAAGGACAAACAACAACAATTTCAGGTAAAGGAACAAGTTAGGATCACAATATACTCAATACTTGTAATACATATTCTGCAATTGCTATGCTTGTAACTTTCAAGAATTCAATTTGGACAATGGAAGAATACCACTCAGGCTTTGTTGGAATGGCCCTACTACCAGGAGTTCACATGGGACATTGCCCTAATGAAGAATGTGATGTAAGTGTGTAAAGAACTGTGTCAATGAATGGGTAGAGTATAATACTGAAAAGACCAACTGGTGTTGCCATAGGACTCTAAGAACTTAACTCCTCAATGACTTACAGAAGCCATTTAGCTAGCAGCTACTGGCCTATGTCTGGAATACAAAAAGATACAAAATTGACTGTGTCTGCAGAGACAAGTGAACTGGAGAATTGAGTGGCTATTCAACTGAATTCAACAAGTACTGTGGTGAGTAATTAATAATAAGTGAGGAAACAATCTAAGCAAAAGTAATTTGTTGGCTAGGCAGTTAGAATAAATGGGTCCATGGACTCCCCAATCAGTCTAAAGATCCCAAATACAGAGTGAGGCAGATTTTTATGCATAAAAACAATCAAACCAGGCCAACTAATTACAATAAAATCAATTAACCAGGATACAAAATTAGGTAATCTAATTTCTAATTGGAAGAAAGATTGGGGGCTTTCCAGGTTGGGAAGGGGAAGGAGAAAGAGTGAGCTTCAGGGCTTTCTGTTCATAAAATGAAAAGATCTTGATTAATTGCATCCACCTGAATGTATGAAGCAATATATGGCTTATATAATCTAGTTTTCCATGGATGAATAACTGAAAAACAACAAAATGGAGGAGAATACATGTGGTAGCACACAATAGAGTCCATACTCATGAGCTAGAATCTGGTTGATTCTTTTTATTCCCACATTAAGCCAACTCCATATCGTACATTGTCATTTTATCTCATCAATTCTCCTGTTTTGATTAAAAGGGAGGGACCAACCCAGTAACCATTACTAGAGAGCAAAACACTAAAGATACAAAGACAAAAATGAAACTGGCACACAGGAATTCTAAGGACCATCCAAGAAACCATTAGATTGGACATGAGAGCCTTCAACCAAACAAGACCACATAGATGTGATTCTTGCTTTACTTTAAGGTGACTTCTGCTGTATTGATAGCTTTCCAGTATACCATGGGTAGTATTTGTATGTGTAACACTAAAAAACATTTAAAAACCCATCTAAATGAGGGCTAATGACTCCAAACAATTTGTGGCAGGGCAAGATAGCAGGTTAGAACCATATAAATTCTTATTGGGTATCCAGAAGCCTATTGGTGGTAGAACCAAAGAGGCAGGAACTAGGAACATAAAATGGCATAGGGAAAAAAGCATTGGCTCTGGATGTAGAGGGTCAAGGTCCAAGCCCCACCCAAATGAGTACTATCCATGTGACCTTGGGCAAGTTGGTTATTCTTCCTGGGCCTGAGTTTCCTCATCTATAAAATAAATGAGTTGGGTTAGATGGCCTCTGAGCCTATGATTATACAGACTAGGAGTTCTCAAGCATCTAATGACAAAATAAAGTGGTTTGTAAAGATTTGGCTAGTTTATCAGAAGCTATGGAATCCATAGAAATCAAAAAGCAGTGAAGTGGGTGGGGATTTTAGGCAAAATCATCCAGACAGAAGAAGGATCAGGTTCTAGGCAAATAACTTTGACAGCAGGCAGAGTTCCAGTAATGAAGATATTCGATATGAAGATCAGTTCAAGCCAAGGAGATTTTTATATTTCTGTCATTTGGGCAGGAAATCAGTCTCAGAGTACAGTCAGTTTGCAAGGAAATGCCACACTTGGCACCTTGATATAAGAGTGCTGGGGTACCTTAATTTGTTACACACCTGTCAGAGTGGTTGACTTTGATGCAAAGACACTGATGATTAAAACAGGTGTTTTAATTGCAAGACAGCTTGGAAAGGGTCCAAAAAGTTGAAGTGTTGGAAAAGATCCTCCTAACTTCCTCTCCTGCCCCAATTGAAAAAAAGAACCAACCCAACACTTTCCAAGCCATTTAGGTTGGATGTAAAGTTGAATGCATGGTGGATGTGAACATATAACTAATGGAGATTTATGCAGAACTGATATAAAAAGATGTCATCAAAGACAAGTATGAACAGAAAGGAGGGCAGGTCAGTCTTGTAAAGAAAACAAGGTACAATAGGCAGACAACTTGTGTATTGTGTTTGTATCCATGGAATATTAAAAAACTTGGAGGAAGACTCCCAATGTGGCAGGTAGATCTTCTGTTGAAACTTTATGGAAGGTCATGGGCAAGATGAGAAGGCATAGATAGGCTGCTATCTGCACAAGTGGAAAGGAGTACCCATGGGTCAATGAGGTCCATCCAAACAGTAAAGTGAAGTCGAGTTAAAAATGATAATTAAGTTTAAGGGTGGTGAATCACAGTGCCAAACTGCTAAAGCTTTAGGTCTTACAGTCCAGTAATATATGGAATAAGCTCACGAGGCAGATGAGCATGCTGTAAGAGTTCCTGGAACTGCAGTGAATTGTCACATTTATTATTTTTCATTGGTGATTTTTAAAAATTAGATTTTATTTTTTCAATTAACAGAGATTTATTTTCTCTTCCTTTCATCCCTCCCCTCCCATTAAAAAAGAAAAAGAAAACCCTTATAACAAATATACAGTTAGACAAAACAAATTTTTACATTGGCCATGTCCAAAAAGTATGTCTCATTCTGTACTCTGGGTCCATCATCTCTCTCTCAGAAGAGGGGTAGCATGCTTCATCATTGGTCCTCTGGAATTATGATTGGTCATTGTAATGATCAGAATTCTCGAGTCTTTCAAAGTTGTTTGTTTTTACATTGTTGTTATTGTGTAAATTGTTCTCCTTGTTCAGCTTTCTTTACTCTGCATCAGTTCATAAAAATCTTCTCAGATTTCATAGAAACTATTCTTCTGATCACTTTTATGGCACAGTAGTATTCCAATACATTGATATGCCACAATTTCTTCCTTTATTCCTCAGTTAATGGGTACCCCCTCTGTTTCTAGTTCTTTCCTACACCAAAAAGTCCTGCCATGAATATTTTTAAACATATTAGTCCTTTTCCTCTTTCTTTAATTTCTTTAAGGTATAGGCCTAGTAGTAGTATTTCTGGGTCAAAGGGTTTAGTTTAGTAAAATTTGGAGTTTAGTTCCAAATTGCTTTCCAGAATGGCTGTACCAATTCACAGCTCCACCAAAAATTCATTAATATGTCTGTTTTTTTCACAGCCCCTACATTTGTCCTTTTATTTTTTGTCAACTTTGCTGGGTTGGTGGATATGAGACAAAACCTCAGAGTTGCTTTAATTTGCATTTCTCTGATTATTAGTAATTTGGAGATTTTTTTTTCAAATGTCTTTTGATAGTTTGAATTTCTTCTTTTAAGAACTGCCTATTCAAAATCTTTGACAATTTATTAATTGTGAAATTGCTCTTATTCTTATAAAAGCTTATATTCTTATTGTATTGGAATAAATTCCTTTTATGTCTTGGAAATGAGAAGTGAAGCAAGAAAAGTAATTTTACAAAGCGTTGGGGATGAGGACAATGGAAGAGATAAAAATTATCTTGGTCACATGTTTCTTATATGTAAGCTTCTCTAATTGTGAATTTAATGAATATCTATTTTCTTTCCACTGAAGCTGTATGTATTTGTGGGATAGTGCCACAGATTTCTGAGGAAGATATTTTATTGTTACCTATGATGTTTTTGCTTTGAGTTAATTGTGTTCTCTCTCAATAGGTAAATACATTAATGGGGGCTCATGAACTATAGTTTTGGGAATGTGAGCCCACTGAGTACTTTGAAGTTGGGGTGGTCCTCTGATAGATGCAACTTTTAACTTAAAAGTATGGGTTAGGGAGTCAGCTCAAAGAA